TCAGAACGTGCGCAGCCAGGCAGCTGCGGCCAGAAGGGCTCCGAGCGGATTGGCTCACATCCGTCAGCGCTGACCCGGCGGCGACGATAGGGGCGAATAGCCCGGGGGCGGGCATGACACGCATTCGCCCGGGAGCCTCCTCGAAGGCATAGAGACCATCGGCGCACCCGAGTCCGTGTCTTGCCCTCCCCTGCGTTCCTCGCCCCTCTCGCCGCCTCTGACTGAGCCCTGCTCCTTACCAGCCTGGAACATATCCCTATCCCTATGCTGGGCATCTCCTCATCACGATGCCAACCTTAGGGATTTCCTTAGTTTTTGAGGGCGAATCCCTAAGATTGTCATCGCCTTTTGGCGTGTCAATCTTAGGGATGGGGATCAGTTCGAGGCTGGTAAGTTCCGGCGCCCCCCCGACCTGCGCCGGCGGCGCCAGCGCTGGCGCGGGCCCGAGCCCCCGCCCCCCTCCGAGGCGCTGGCTCGCGGACGCAAGCGCAGCGGGCGGCGTCCGCGGGCGCGGCGCCAGCGCGGGCGCGGGCGCGGGCCGCGGGCCGACGGCCGCGTCCACGGCCGCCGGCCCCCGCCCTGGTCCGGGCTGCGGGCCCGCAGGCGCCTGCGCAGCAGGCGGCGTCTGCGCACCCGGCGCCGGCGCCGGCGCGGGCGCGGGCGCCTGCGAGGCCCTCGGCGCGGTCGCGGCCGCGGGCCATCTGCCGATCCGCCCTCGTGCCGTTGGCACGTTTGGGGGGGCGTTTTCGAGTGCATCTAGAGGTTTCCTGGGCCGACCCCCCTGCATCGCGCTTGGCAGGAAACGCCACGCCCTCGGCTTGCGGCCCCACGGCCTCTTCGGCACCTGGACAAGGGCCAGACGAACGCAGCCTGCCCAAAAACGACTGCAAGACGCCCAAGGGCCTTTCAAAGACGGCACAACGAGCCCCGCAGGACCAGAGATCTCCACAAGATGCGAGAAGACGTCCCAAGACACCTGAAAGATACAGCCAAAGAGGGCTCCAACCATGCCCTCAGAAGCGAAGAACATTGAACAACCCACGTCACTTATAGTTTCACATCTGAAGCTTTCCGTATGCACATCGCCTCGGGAAAGCTTCAAATAGTCCCAGTAAGCCCCCACGACGGCCAACACCATCCCAAGAGCGCGCCTCAAGACAGTTCCAAGACTGCCCGCGAGCCCAGTAAAACGACCGAAGAAAGCTCAAAGATGGCCCCGAGACGCACCCGGACATCCCACAGATGTGTCAACCGAGCCTTTCCGGGGAGAGCTCTGTGGAACCATCGCCCCTACAACGCCCCCGAGACTCCGACAGACCCTCAACGAGCCCAGCAAACCAGGGCCCCAAGAGGCCTCTCAAGGATACCAAGAGGTCTCCTTGATGCCTGCAGGAGGACGAGAAGGAAGAGGAGGAAGATGATGAGGAGGAGCATGAGGGTGAAAAAGAAGATGAGGAGGAGGAGGAGGAAGAGGAGGAGGTGGAGGAGGATTAAATATTGATCGATCGATCGAGCTCTCGGGCTGGTTCGATGCTAGAGCTGAGCTGCGTCAACAGAAATCTAGTATGGCCTAGCTGTGTTCATTTCGTGACGCTCTGGCCCTACCTGCACCGATCTCCCCACGCAGGGGTCCGCGGGCAGGGTAGAAACCGCTATTGCGGATGCCCTCTTGTCCGCCTCTCCCCGCCCCTGTCCTGGCCCCCTCGCCCCTTCCCAGAAGGAGGAGGGAGGAGGAGGAGCCCTTTCGAACCCTTTCGAGCCGCCAGCGTCGTGGCGGCCGCCGCGCGGGCGCGCGCGGCGGCGTGGCGGCGCCCGCCTACTCCTCGTCCTCCTCGGGTGGCCCCGCAGCTGCGTGGGGCGGCGGGGCAGCCGCAGCACGAACTTCA